GCATATTAAAGATAGGTATTAATATTATTTGTTTCTATTTATTTTTACTATTTATTTATTTTTTTATTTTTTTATTTGTTTTAGATATTTTATTTATTTTTAAAAATATATAGTCAAATATATTCATTTTGCAACACATAAATAGATTACTCTGCAAACATTTGTCAATGTTATTGTTATATAATATATTAAATATATATTTATATGTAATACATTTATGTATTCTTGTTTTTAAATATTCATAATATGAATACATGTTATACATATATACATGTATACAGCATATATACATATACAAGTTAGTGTTTTTTGTAAATATTTAATATAATATATAATGTTAAAATTAAAATAAAGAGAAAAAATTCTCTGCCTATGATAAACGTTAAGCACATAATTGAACTAAATCACAAAAATGAGGTAGATAAAATAAAATAAAATAAAATAAAATGCTATCTAAACAATAAGATTAAGATTAAGAGTAAGATCAAGAGAAAGAGTAAGTCAAAGACTTAGACTCACACTAAGACTAAGACTAACAGACTAAGACTAAAACTAAGTGTAAAAGTATGACTAAGATCAAGACTAAGACTAAGAGTAAAACTAAGACTAAGAGTATTTATATAACAAGAGTATTTAGTAATTAACAATTTTAAAGAGAGCAAGACAGCATAAGCACTTGGATCTCCCTTAGCAAATTATGATGATAAAATCATATCGCTAATGATGATTATCTTTTATGATAATTATCAGAAATGATCATATACATAAATAATTATGTACTTAAATGATCATTATCGCTAATCAACATTATGACAAGCTTCATTATTACAATAACAATTAGTTTTTATTAATAATAATTAAAAGTAACTTAAATACTAACAATCATATATTTCTAACGCTTAAACAATTAAATATTTATTAAACAAATTGACAATGTTCAAAAACAAAAAAACTTAAATATATATTTAAATATTTATAAACAAAACAATTTTTTAAACTTAAACAATTTAACAAAAAAAAACTTAAATTTATTCACCACTTGCACTGCACTGCACTGCGACTGACCCAGTCCAGGTCAGAAAATTGACTGATCGCCCGCAGCCGATGCTCGCCCTTTTATACCCAAAAGTCACTCAAAAGACAACGCCAGCAGATCAGCTGAGCCCCTTTTGAGTGAGAATTTACACGCATCTTGAATTGAGTTAGAATCAGAAAGAAATGCGAACAGACAGAGCTAAGCTAACTCATGCTATACATGTGTAACAAATGAGTGTTTTCTTGCTGCTGTTGAGTAACTTTTTTATTTTTAACTCATTTTACATGATATGAAGGACAGACTAATACATGCCACTATATAGACAACTACTGATCGTGCGGATCGTATATATATTTAAATATATATATTTATATATATATATATAATAGATATATATATATATATGTATATATATATATACATATATATATTTTTTTTCATTAATTACAGCCAAAATATTCTTTATAACTATTAGGCATTTAAACTTCTTTTTTACTCATTTAGAATAGTTGTTAAGGCCAACAGACAAACGCACAGAGATCTTTGCTGATTCCACTAGTCATCCTGATTGCTATATATACACGTTTAAGAAAGGAGATTTCCTTTAATCTATATCTCAGTTAGGCCAAACAGCTTCAAGCACAACCAACATGTAGAATTATTGCGTCAGCTGGGCCTAGAGTATTTGGCTGTCGACTATGCCCAACAGCCACGCCCATGCTTCAAGGTATTATGATCATGGCTTCAGATATATATATATATATATATATATATATATACATATATATATATATATATGTGTATAGGCATACGTACGTCTGTGTATGTATTTGTCATTGATAGGATTTGCGTGCGCCCTTTGAGTTTCAATTGAGCTTAGTGCGAGTAATTAAGGAGCATTAGGCAGCTGCCACGCCCACTGTGGTCTGAGACTGTGCAAACGCGTGGCCAGTGCTGGCCACTTTATGGTTTTGGCTTAAACTGTGCAGACATTTTCATTAATTTGCACAATTGAATGATTTTCATTAAATTGTAATTACCCGAAATTAATCGCCTTGGCAATTGGACAACCCAATCGAAGCCGAGCGACGCCGCCTGCTGAGGCGATTGCGTAAAGGTCGCAGTGCCGCCTAAGCGGCTTATAGCTATTGCTTTGACTAGAACCAATTCAGCTCGTCTCCCCCTCGCTCTCGCTCTCACACACACACCTAAACAGTGTATAGCTGTCTCTTTCGCCTTTAAGGAAAAGTTGTGCAGAATCGATTCAATTGCATTGTTTGTATTTGCCGACTGATTGAAATGCATGTGAGCGTGGAAATTGTTTAGTTTTCATTAGAAAACGCATTCCGAAAAATCCATTGGCTGGCAATTAGTGCAGAGCAAAGCATTGCGAAATGCGAAAGAAAAGCGTCGGCTGATTAGCCCCCAGCTAACTGGAAAAGCGCAAATGAATGCAAAGAAATGCCAAAGAAGAAGCAAGAAAAACAAAAATGTATTTTCTTCGAGATGCTGAGGCTCGAATACCCTGCGCAGCTGTGATGCCAATGGGCATACCAGACTAAAGTTAGACTATATATTCATATTGAAAATGAAAGATAGAGTAAAGCTCCAAATAGATCAAATTTAGTTCGATTCATATTCATATAAATTCTATTATATTAAGATATATAACGAGAAAAATATTGAAATTCATTAAAATTGTAGGGGAGCTATTGGGCAGAAGACTCCCCAGTTGAAAACATTTTAAATTTGAAGCGAACTACATTTATATATTAAAAGTTTAATAAATAAATATTTTAATAAATAATATTTTAATATTTATTTATTATTTTAAAAAATAAAGTTTTAAACTTTATACTTTACAAAAGAGCAGCAGAGCTTGTTTCTTATATATTGAGAATTGCAGCAAGGAGTAGCGGCAAAACGAGTTAAATCAAATAGTTTAAACTAGTTTATATAAGTAACAATTTAGTTTAAGCTTACTTTTTTCTATACACTCGCCAGGGTATATTGAAGGCTCACAAGCAGCGCAGGTGCGAGTGTATGCGTTCAAGGCGGCACAATGTAGGCGTATAGCTGCTTGGGCAATTATGAACGCCTCAGAGCGGCAGCTGCCACTGAGTTGCTTAAGTGTGCGTTGCATATTTTAAGCTGCCACCGAGTCCCGCCTGCTCCCACCTGCACGCCCCGCCAAGCAAAGCAAACAACGAGGCAGCCGTTGTCGGTGTTGTTGCATTGGCAAAGCCGGTCAAAAGGCCGTCGAGTGTCGTGCCAAGTAACAATTTGCAACAACAACAAAAACAACTAGGCAAGCCAGTTGCAACAACAATGGCAATAATTCAGTTGAAGTGCACAAAATTTGTTGCACATTTCCCATGCAGGTGCAAGGTAAATGTTTGGGCGCACATCTGAGGCGTGGTCAGGTGCGAATATTGCCGCAAGGTGGACAGCTCGGACAGCATCAAGGTCTTTTCCACTTCACGAGCTGTTTTTTCTCCTTCTACTTCTATTTTTTGCAAACAGACGCAAGCAAATAGAGAACAGAGAACGAAATAGCAACCAAGCGGAGGGCAACAACAAATTAAGACAATAAAACTCAAATTAAATAAAGACTCGGAATGGAATATGACCCGGGCTAGTAAACAGAGCTTGTGATGTTAAGATATTAAGCTCTCTATGACACTGTCAGCGCTTCTTTTTGAACCTAGTTATTTTTCCTTTAGTCTTTACTCGAAGCTTGAGCAACTTCTACAAAACTCAACAGATTTTTGTAGATTTTTAAGTGTTTTCTTTTTTTACTTTAAGCTTCGACTACTTTTAGCTAGATTTTACTCCATTGTAGTTAAGCCTGAAAAATTTAGCAGCTTATGGAGAAAACATGTTAAGCTCAAGCTACGTATGGTATATACCAAATGTTTCTTTTAGATTTACATAAGTTTAAATTAAAATAAAAAAAAAATAATTAACTTTTAATATCAATAAAATAAACTTTATTAAATTTAAAATTTTATGACATTCGTATTCAGATATAATTTATTTAATAACTGCTACAAAACATAAATTTTGATTACCATCATAAGTATCATCACAATATTGTTTTTGAAGACATGTCGACCAATGGATCCGCCAGCCTAGCAACAAATATTAATTTTCCATGAGTGTATTGATGATTCGACGAAAACTTATGTATTCTAAGCATTCCTCTCTAAAAAAAACACTCTTTAAAAATATGTATTTCAAGTTTTAAGCTTTTGTAACTAATGAGATCGCAGCATTCATATGAATGGACAAGCTGACATAGATCGAACGAGTCAATCAACTCAAGAATATATATACTTAATTGTTTCAGCCACGACTCTTTCTGCCTGTTACATACATTTTCATGAGCTTAGAATGATCACAAAAGAGCTGTGCTTCTAGCGTCGGCTTTTATTCCGGCAAATGCGTCTCGAGTGCTGGCTCAGCGTCAACATTTCTGAGACCTGCTAAGAGCTGGTTGCTAAGGCGACTATGCGCTCTTGTTTTCGTGACAATATCTGTCTGGCTGTTGGCTTAAGCTGCAAAAAAATACTTTTCTTTTGCTATGTGCAGAATTGCGTGCACGTTGAAGTCTAATGACGACAGAGTTCACGATAAAACTCAAATTACGCACGCTCAACAGTTGAGCCGGAATTTGGTTGAATATTTCAGATTATTTCCACAAATTCCACAAATGTAAGACGCTTCTTGATTAAATGGCAAATCTTATGCAACATTTTAAGAAATAAACTTTGTAGATTTTTTGAATAGCTGTTGAAATATAACTATTGGCAACAGTAACACTCTTGCTGGGTCAGCATAAAAGAAGTTCAAATTGATTTTGTATCCAAATTTTATGAAGACTTCTTGTTACTCAGTTTTGATAGATATTGTATTATAGTCATATATAATTGATATTTAATTTATGTACTTGTCTCGTTTGCAGCTAACCGAACGCCAGGAGCAAACACCAGCACCACAAATGCAAGATGAATTCGGACCAAACAATACAGATGCCATCTGGGCCGCCGCCTGCGTCGCAGAGAGTTACATGCGGCGAGTACAGCGGGGACAGAGAGAGCTATGGGGCAGCCACGAGTCTGGGATATGGCGGCATCCCGACTACGTCAACCAGCAGTTACGGTTCTTTTGGCGTACTATCCAATTTATCCAGCGTCGGGGCAGGAACGCCCACATTGCCGCTGCTGCTGTCCACGCCGCCTTCAACAAGCACTTTCAAGACGACGACGATCCCGATGCCGACATCGACGCCTTCAACTTCCCCTTTGATCCCCATCCAGACGCCCACGCCTACCAATTTCATCCCAATTACGATCACCTCGATGACGAACCCGACTACGACTTCATCAACGCTGCAGCCGCAGCAGCAGCAGCAGCAGCCGACGAACCCGACGACGATGATGCCCATGTCGCTGACATCCATGTCGCTGACAACGCCGACCCAGTTGACGACCCAGATGCCGACCCAGTTGCCGACCCAGTTGCCGACCCAGCTGCCGACCCAGCTGCCGACGCAGCTGCTGCCGATGCCGACGCTGGAGGACATTGAAGTGGCAACGCAGCAGCAACAGCAGCAGCCGCCGCAGCCGGCAACGCAACAGCCGCAGCCAGCAGGCATACTTAAATACCCAACAGCTTCGACCATTGGCTATGTCACCGAATTATTGCCACCCCCAGCCCCCACCCTGGCGACCAGCGCCAGCAGCTCCATTAACAGCAATTGCGGCACATTGAAGAGCAATGCCAAGCTGCTGCCCCTGCAGCTGGTAGCCAATACAGTGCCCACACGCAAAGAGCCACCATCGACGACGTCCGCTGGGCAGTCGCAGCAGCGTCCCCGGCGCCAGGGCTGGTGCGCCTGCTTCGGCTCTGGGCCCAGTGCATCCGAGGCCAAGGCACCGCCTGGCTATGCCACCAAAACCAAGAAGCGCAAGCAAACAGCTCAAACGGTTTGGTCCGCTCTGCTCACCAATTTAGGCATCTGCATGCTGCTACTGGCCTACACTTTGCTCGGTAAGTCTAGAGTCGGCATTGCCCCATCCAAACTGAGAAAAGCCTACGAATATGCTCAAGTATCTGAAGGAGTGAGCTGTTAAGCTTGATTGAGAAACGTTTGTCAAGTTGTCTCATGGCTTCAGGCATCGATTCTCTTTTGCTGAAATGACACTGACTCAAATCAGAATATGGCTATATAATATATATATTATATAAAATGATCATTTCAGCTGTTTTTGCAGCCTTGTTCTCATAGGCGACAATAGATAAGAAGAAGCTGAAATTAGTAGAAAAATGATTTTATGAAGAGCTTCGTGGATTGGAATAACATCTTTAAGAGTTTACTAAGTTGGGTTAAAATAAATTTCAGGTATATAAAAATCATTTATGTAGAACATATACAAAATTCGTGATACTCTTTGAGCAGACCTCGTATTATAAAAAATTAGGTGCAACTTTTGGCTGACCCAAAAGCGAAACATTAAAAGAGTTGTCGAAGGAAGGTGTTTGCTTCTTTCGTTTAGTTCCGTTTTTAAACACGAATAAGAACAGATAGTATTTATAGATTAGTCCTTAAATTGAAGGCCAATTAAGGCAGATCTGAGAAAGCCGAGCTCATTTGTAACGTGTCGCTGACATCTAGACGCTCGAGTCAAGCTGCTCATTAAATTTGGACAGCAACTGTGGCATTTCGCTAGATTAATTATAGCCAGACAAATATATATATATACATATATATATATATATACATATATATATATATATATACATATATATATATATATACACACATAGTTAGACTGAGAAACTATCAGTTGTATAAACATTTTGTTGTCACATTGCTGTTTGTCCTCAGGAGCTTTCGTTATGTTGACTAATTAACGCAACATTTCCCTTTCAAGCCGCTGACTTTTGCGGCTGCTTTGCGTCAGATACAGATACAGTTATAGTTAGAGTTAGAGTTAGATATGGAGATAGAGAGGGCTCGTGTCTGAGCAGTTGTAACAACAGATACCTAATGTATCTTGTCACAATTTCGACGTTTAAATTATCAACAACAGCGGCAGCAACAACGATGTGATAAATTTAATTAATCATTTTGCCAGCCGCATGCGAAATGGAAAGAAAACGCCAAAATGGCGTCGGCCGCGAGTTGTGCCACAAGGCCGAAAACTCAAGAAGTTATGCGGCTGACAATTATGTGTGTGTGTGTGTATGTGAGTGTGTGTGTGAGAGTGTGTTTGGCATTATCATCCCACACATTGGCATCGCTGTCATGTTGCTGCCGTGTCGCCAGCCATGTGTACTCGCATTTGAAACCAAAGACGGCTGTGCGAACATGTCGGCCACGGAAGTGACAGGCTGCGAGACAAAGTGACAAAATAGGCAGCATGCAAAAGGCAGGCTGGCTGGCAGCCAGGCAGCACATGCGCCACATCAAATACTTTAAACAAATCGAAGGGGCGTCGGAGATGCCGAACGTATCACGGCGAAGCGTGAAAGTCACTGAAGCTGGCAGATTTCTCAGAGCTAAGCTTTACATTGTCAGAGTTGAAGGGTGTAAGGAACGAAACTGCTACTATTAACGGTTAAGTGAGCAAGTCACAACATTTTATGACCCATCATATAAAAGTTATCTAAGAGTTGTGCTTCAGCTTTGTCAGAGTTGAACGAAGAATGAACGAAACTGCTACTTGTCACGATTGAGTGAGCAAGTCACAGCAGCTCAAGACAATATATATTTTAATAATATATATTTTTTAATTATATATTTTAATTATAATAAGCTTTCTACAAATTTAGTTCTACTTGTCATATGAAACTGCTACTTAGCACAGTTACTTCAGCTAGTCACAACATTTCTAAAGATTTCTGAAAGTCAAGCTTTACTTTGTCACAGCTTTACTTTACACAGAAAAAGTCGCAGAATTTTAAACAGCAATCCATTTAACTTTAACAGCCAGTTAACTATTTGACATGAACTCAATATTTTAGAGCCACTTTTTTAGACATATATCAGCTTCGTAAGTCTAGTTAGATTTTTTCATAAATTTTTGACCAATTGTTAACAATTCCTTAAATAATTAGCATTAGATGAGATCTTTGCAGTGTTGCCAGCTTGCATTTTTTCACACATATGGCAACTGCAAACAAAATAAAAATGCAAATGGATTTCTAATGTATGTAATATAATTTATTTATATTTTTATTTTGATTTAGATTCAACTAATAATTAATAATTATTATTATATTATTATTTAAAAAAATTTTAATTAATTTCTTATCAATTTTATAACATCGAAAAATAGTTGAAGACATTTAAGGCTAATTGAAATGTTGCCTTCAGAGTTTTCTTTGGTTTTTTTCCCATTCATTGAGGAAGACGTTGCTCAAAATTGCGCTGTAGCTCATCTCCAGCAAGCATGTGTGTGCGTGTGCGTGTGTGTGCGTGTGTGTAAGCGTGTGTACAGCTGTATGTGACAGCTGCGCAAAAAGTTAGCCGTGTTGCCTTGTTAAAGGAAATCATCAAATGACACAAACAATTATTTAACTTTCTCTAGGCTCCGGTGCGTGAGTTTGTGACGTCAGCACACGCCCATTTGACAGCTAACTGTGTGTCTGTGCGCGTGTGTGTTTGTGTGTGTGTGTGTGTGCGTGCGTGTTTATGCATATGTGCTAGTGTGTACTCCATTTTGCGTGCATTTTAACGCTTCAACAAAAGTTTCAAGTTGGCCAAGCACAACAACAACAATTGCTTCTTTTGTGTTGCTGCTGCTGTCGCCGCTGCTGCTGCTGCTGCCGTCCAGCCGCCAATTCACAGTGCTGCCACACACGCTCATGTATTATTTTTAACTTTGACATGTGTTGGCTTTTGTCGACGACATCGACTCATCATACCCCTCATAATATCATTTGCAGACCCAAAAAAAAGCAACAAAAAAATGGAAAAATGTTGTTCAAGTTACGGCGAGTGTAGCAGAAAAACTTTTTCACAAACTTGACAAATGCCGCTACAGCAGCACATGTTTGCCTATGCGCCAGAGTGTGTGTGTGCGTGTGTGAGTGAGTGTGTTGGTTGATCAGCATAGACATTATGTGAGTGACAAGGCTTCAGCCTCGGAATTTGTGCAGCAAATGTCAAGCTTTACACTGTGCACTGGGCACTGGGCACTGACTATTCGTCATGACCCGTTGCCCTTTTTTGATGGACCGGAATTCCTAGAGGCCTGTCCCCACGACGGGCAAATATCTTAAAAATGTCAATGTTTTGATGAATTGAACTTAATTTAGAAGAGTTCGATGTCAAGCCTGAAGTCCATTTGATAGTTCTAGCGCTAGAGGGAAGAGAGAAAGAGAGGGAGAGGAAGGCAGAGACAGAGAGAGAAATAGATTGTGGGACACAGAGAGAAGAAGAAAATTAGAGAGAGTAAAACAGAGAGAAAAAGAGAGGGAGGGAGACAAAAGAGAAGGAAATTGAGACAGAGAGGCAGAGAAAGACAGGAAGGAAGAAAGAGAGAGAATAAAAATAAATAAATAGACCCAAGTAAAGGAAGTGTTAGAATAAAAATATATATAAAGATAGAGAAATAGAAAAGAAGAGAGACAAAGAGAGATATAGAGAAGAAAAGAAACAGAAAACGACAGAGATAAAGTGACAGGATGAGCATAGAGATAGTAAGAGAGATTGATTGATTGAGAGAGAGAGAGAGAGCGATATAAAAAGAGAATGAGAGAGAAAGAGAGGGAGAGCCACACAAAAGGAGGTAAAGAGTATGAGCGACAAGCTGGGAGGGAGAGAGTCAGAACGAGAAAGAAAGGGATGCAGACAGAGACTGGGAAAATGGTAAAAGAACAAAGAGTTCATTATTGACTACAAATATTATCACAGATAACTTGAGACTTAAAGTACAAAAGCTAAAAAGGCAATGCAGAAGAAAGAAGCTAAGTTTTACTTAGTGAAAGTTGAGAGAAAATATAAAACTTTAAAATTCAGTCGATTCTAAGCAAGCCTAAACACTTAAAGAAGGCGACTAAGAAACTAAGCTGAGCTAAGAATTAAAGAGAAACTAAGCAAAAAGCTTAAAACAAAGGAATACATAAGTTAGGAAGTATAAGTTGAGTGAGAACAACTATATGTGAACAATGAAAGCGATTATTTAAGTCAATTGCAGAATAAAGATTTGGGAATTATTCGATTTAATTATTTTTGAAAATTGAAACCAGAATGAACGAGGAAACGAGTATGAAAATTACAAAAATCATTTTTATTTGAGATGAATAAATATTTTGTACATTTCGTATTAATTGGGACAAAATGCAGCCTTTGCTCTGTCAAAGTAAAATATCTAAAAGCCTTGTAATATATGTAATAAAACAATAACTGATTTAACTTGTAATTGCTGTGTAAAAGGCCGTAAAATAAATTCCTTAGGACTTACTGCTGGCTTAGCTTGACAAAGCAACGATTTTCGGACAAATTCTTGGCAAATTTCTGAATTGGAATTGAAATTGAGAGAAATACAGAGAAATACAGAGAAATTGAATGGGCACAATTTAAGCAACACAATTGCAATGCGAAGTTGGCCATAAAATTGGGCTATTTAAGAGCTGATGATTGCCGTGCATGACTCTTGGCCAGCTTGGCTGGCCATTTGGCCAAAGCAGTCAAGCCCCAAGACCCAAACCCCAACCCCCAAGCCCCAAGCCCCACTATGCTGACAATACAAATGAGTTGCCGTTGCTTATTTTGGAGGCTAACACTATGTTGTCGTTGTTTGTCTGTGTAAAGTCCCATGAGTCTAATGCTGTTTGCTGGTCTTGTTTGCAGGCTCCTTTATATTCCTAACCATCGAGAACGAGGACTCGGCACTGCTGCATCAACAGCATACGCTGGCATCCACCAAGCGCAACAGCCACAACAGCAACACCAATGGGAACAGCAACGGCATCTATCAACAGCAAAGGTCGCCGCAGACGCAGACGCAGACGCAGTCACAGCACCAGCCACAGCATCAACAGCAGCAGGGACCACACACGGACAATGACACGGTGGCCGCTGCAGTTGCCCAGGGCCAGGATCTGGGCCATGGCATCGAGCGTGGCGCGTACGGTCAGGCATCGAATGACTTTGTTTATGGATTGGATGACAACGATATGGATGGGGGGCAGGCGCAGTTTGCCCTATCGCCGGACACTTATGATGTACGACAGCGCACCATTGAGAATATCTGGGACATAACCGTCTCTCTCAACATACTCTACAAGGAGAACTGGACAAAGTAAGCAAAAGCGTCCCATTTCTGTTTCACACTTAGCTATCAAACTACTTACTTATTCCCTTTCAACCCCACCGCACCTCGTCTCTCTCACTCACAGATTAGCCGCACTTGAAATTGCCAAGTTTCAAGACCAATTAATCAAGAGACTGAACGAGGATGTTATGCTGCAATTATCACACGACGATGTGGCTGCCGGACATTCGATTGCTGCTGCTGGTGGTGGTGGTGGTGGTGCTGCTGCTGGGGGTGGCACTGGTGGTTCAGCTGGTTCAGCCAACAATCCAGCCACGGAAGCCGTGCTCCTTCACACACACTTTCATCATCATCGCCTCGCCGGCGGCGTCGGCGTGGGTGGACCACCGCATGAATGGAATTTCGCCAAAGCGTTTTTGTATTCGCTGACCGTTTTGACCACAATTGGTAAGTGCCCACCAGACCAGTGCTTAGCACATGCATGACAGAGTAGCAGACACCAAGAGAGCGACAGAGAGAGAGAAAGAGAGAGCAAATGCCATGTGTGGCTGCCCGACAAGCTGGCTGCATTGTGCCATTACGCCATGGCCGTGGGCCATAAATTTTATGTTCCACCAAACGGAAATTTGCTTTACTTCAGTGGTGAGAACATCAAGTGAACTTCGTGCACTTGATTTTAGATAGCGCCGCAATAGGGTCCACGACCCATTCACCTTTTGACACGGCCACAGAAGCCAGACTACAGACCACAGCGGATCGATGAGATGGCGTCATGAACTCAGGCGCTTCGATATTCCAGTTTAATTAACCAAACGTAAAACCCAAGCACAAAATAACGCTAAGTGCAGTGCGAAGTGAGAAGCGTGACGAGAAGCACAACGTGTAACCGAGAGCATAGACCACGTTGCGAGCAGAGAGAAGCAGAGTAATTGAACTGCAGCGAGAGCTGTAGAGCGATGCCCAGAGGGAAGCATTATAAGCTATATAGAGCTAAATACATTGTTCGATAAGGCGAGAAGCAGAGAGAATCATGGTGATTAGTTAAGCAAGAAACATGAAATGATGAGAGATGCAGCGCGTGAGGTTAGGCAGAAGCGCAGAGAGCCACCTAACGAAAAGGAAAATTTGGAAGCTCAGAGAGAAACTTAGCGAGAAATAGAACGAGAAGCTCTATAAATAACATAGTGAGAAGCTTAGTGAGAAGATTAGTGGAGTGTATAATGAAGCAGCTTAACTTGTAGCTCAATGAGAAGCGTAACGAGAGTCTTAGTGAGAAGCATAGTAAGAAGTTAGTAAGAAGCGGGAAGCATAATGAGAGCCTAATGTAGAAGTATAGCGATATGCGAGATGCATAGAGAGTAGCACAAAGAGAAACAGGTATAAAGTGAATAGTATAGCAATAAGAAAGAATGATAAGGTTAAGGGAGAAGCATAGTGTCGCTGGTTATCATAATGAGAAGCTAAGTGAGAAGCATAAGTGGAGCATGAAATATAACAAGAACATAGCATGAAGTGCAGAAACAAGCTTACTATGAAGAACAGCGAGAATAAAGGGAGAAGCATTGCGAAGCTTAGCTTCAAGCACAGCGAAGTAAGGTAGGAAAGGTAGAGAGAGGCATTGCGAAAAGCAAAGCGAGAAGGAAAGCAAGAAGCAAAGCAAGAAGCAAAGCGAGAAGCATAGGGAGAAGCATAGCGAGAAGCATTGCTAGGAGCATAGCGAAGAGCAAAGCAAGAAACATAGGGAGAAGCAAGACGAGAAGTAAAGCGAGAAGTATAGCGAAAAGCAAAGCAAGAAGCATGGCGAAAAGCAATCATGAAAAGCAATTAAAGCTCAGCAAATAACAAACACAGAGAAATGAGAAAATGAGGCTAATCACTCGAATAGGTTTTCCCTTTAGGTCGATTTGACCAATTTAACAATTTAGAGAAGAGGCAGTATGTAGCTATATATACATGGATATATAAACATATATAAGGTAAAATGTTGCAAATTCCATAGCTGTAAAACTTTGAATTCTGAACAATTTCGACAAATCCAGTTAGACTGACAATCTGTGTGTGTGTGTGAGTGTGGCTTATCAGAGATGCTCATCTGTCATTTGTGTGCTCATGTGAGAAGAATATCTTTCAATTGGCATTGTCAAGGCGCTCCGACACACACACACACACACACACCTCAATTTAAGCTGTGTGTGTGGGATATATGTGAGCTGCCTTTGCTGGGGCAGAGTTTTGCAGTTGTTCGTTTTCCCAGGGGCTGTCAAGTGCTGGCGTTTGCGCTTTTTATTTTTGTTTTTTGTAATTTTTGTCTTCAGCTGCTGTTGTTGCTGTTGTCGTTGCTCGGTAATTTCGTAGGTTCACCCACAAAAAACAAGCCGAAAGTCAAATATTGATAGAGCAAAACAACAAACGAAGCTATTTGCTTAGCCCGAATGGCCAAAGCACACACACTTACAGCCAGGGACAGGGACAAGGCTAGAGAACGTGCCCGAGTGAGTGAGTGAGAGGCATAGACACGACTTTCCACTTGTGAAAATGCTATAAAATAAAATTTGCAAAAATTTTGTGCTGATCTTGGCAGTTCATGCAAAGGGCCGACAAGCAAATACGCCCAAGACCCAGTCCCAGTCCTATCCCAATCCCAATCCCCAAATGCCGCCCACTGCATAAAATACTCAACTGGCTAAGAGCGAGGCGCAGAGAGTGAGAACCTCGGCGGGGGTCTGCGACGGAGGAATTTCGGGTCGCATTGTCAGTTTGCAATTGCGTTAGTCAGCAGAGGCAGCCACTGGGACATTTGTATTAACATGGCTTCCTGCTTGCCAGGCGGCTTATTATTATTATTATTATTGTTTTGCGGCTTTCAATGGACGCACATTGTTCTTGGACGAACGCCTACAAAGAACTGTGAGCACCCAACAATATGATTATTATTATTGGCCAGCCCTCGACTAAGCCACTGCACTGGGCCCCAGTCACACACACACACACAGAGTGTGTATTGCCTAGAGATGGCTCGTCCTTTGGCTTCGCTTTCCCATTTGTTTGGAACACGAAATGCCAATGAAATTTTGATTACTATAAACAACAGTTAGCATACCCACATTAAGTCGCTTTAAACTGGAGTTACCTGAGCCTTTTTAATGGAATATTATTTTCATAGGCTTTGGGCAAAGTCTTGCTAAAGAGCTTCCCTTAATTTTATGCGACATTCGTTTGCTACTAATACTTTACAATATTATAAAGTATCCACACAACTCTGATGATCAGAGCTGTGCTTAGAAAGAAGTTTGAGCTAAAATAAAAATGAAATCTTTGAATTTTATGACATTTTCTATTCTATTCTATTCTAGTGAAAAGTCATTTCGAGGCCTCTTTTTAATGAAAATATAGCAAAGAAATCATGAAAATATTTTTATTGTTTTTCAAAACATTCTACTTGGAAGTCAATAAACTTGGGTGTTCGCTTGAATCAATTGTTTGCCACTCAGCCCTGAGAGAAGCTGTTTAAAGGCTTCTGCAGCGGCTTCAGGCATTCGTTATTGATGTTCGGGAACAAAGAGAAATTATTCGGTGCGAAATCAGAGAACTTTGGACGGCTCAAGCACTTTCTTTTCTAGAGATGCGGGGAAGTCGCATTGCATTATTGAAGCAGGATTCGTCTTTGGAGTTTAGCTTTTGCTTGATCGGAAAAGTTGTGGCAAAGAAATAGTTGTGTAGCACTCAGAATTGACTAAGTTGAAGTTAGTTTATGCCTATGTTAGTATATAAGGCAGCCCTCATATCATATACATTGCATATATCACAAATATTTAAGATATTACATTCATATACTACATATACCATATATATTCCATATTTATATAACTGATATATCGTATATATCATACGTATCATCTATAATCCTTACATATATCTGATATATCGTGCATATTCATATATAATCCATTCATATATTGCATATATCATATATATTCTATATATATATCACATATATCATATAGATCACATATATACATATATATTCCTTACATATGTCATATATATTCCAATCATATATCACTTATATCAGATATACTCGTTACTTATATCTCATATATCATATGTATTCTACACATATAGCTCATGTATTATATATATGTCATACATATATCTTATATATCATATATATACTCCAAATTTATCACATATCATACCATATACCTGTCCATAAATAAAATAAATAAAGTCACAGTCAAGTCACAGTGCAGTCACAGTTCCTTCAACAGTTCATTGCGTAGTCCATCTCCACGCACAATCAGAGTTTCGTGCAAGGATCGTGCGTGCTGCCACGTCCACGCGTCCATTGCTAGTTTCAGCTTGGGAACATTTCCCATAATAAACACACACACATTCGCATGTATATAGGATACACTTTATATGTAAACGAGTGTGCGTGAGTGTGTGTGTGTGCGTACATCTCGCTATGATTGTCTTGGGCATAAATGGGAATTTATAGGCGGTTTGCTCTGACTCTGTCCCGATTTGGCATCGACTCCGGCCCCAGCCTCGACCCCGACTCCAACTCCGACTCCGACTCTGGCGCTGCCTTCGACTGTGCCACAATAAATAGCCAACTCCGGCAATCCCTGGACGGCAATAAGACAAGTAATTTAGTTGCAAAATAATTTTAAATTTCATTTTCCATTTTCACAGCACTCACTATCATCAATTGCGCATCTAGCGTGGGCAGGCGCCCTTCTTTTTCTTCTACTTCTTCTTCTTCTTTTTGCTTTTGCTGGGAATTGGCTTTTATGCGTTGACATATCCTGCTTTATGAGAGTGCTCCGATGCATAAGCAAAATAGCGATAAGTGGATTACAAAGCTATAGCACTATTTATATATATCTTTAACATTTCAAAAGCTGTTCAATTTCATCAAAAATCGTATTGTTATGATATAATGACGCCATCTTGTGCAAGGAGTAGCAAAGTCTCTTTACAGCTGCCTAGTTTCATTATATTTTGTCGCGATTGGCTGCCTTTGTTGCAGTTGTATTAGTGAGCAGCTGAGCTGACCTTGTTTAGAGTTGTACAAATCTAATCCGAGTGAGTTTGCGTCTTATTTGCTCGCTTCTCATTTGTACTTTTGTCCGCATACTCTTACTGCGAAAGAGCGAGACAAAGATAGCTGTTACTAAACGTAGCCCCGGAAAGTGCACAGTAAGAGCGAGATGGCTACTGATAGGCTTCTGACAGGGTCGTTATGATTTGGCTGGACGAATAGAAAGCGACTACAAATGGGCAGTCTAAATAAGAAAGGAAGGCGATCAGCGTAGACTAAATTATATCAGAGATTAAATTAAATGTGTGCTGAAAAGAACAAACATGTATGTATATGTGTATATATGCGCTGTCGAGCTGTGTTAATTTATGCCATTGCATACAAAGTCCTCTGGCTGCAGTTCAACTCTAATTGGAGTTTCTAGTTAGATTTTTTCTAACTCTATGCATAGTCTAACTGGATGTGTTTCAGGCTAATTAATTGCCAATGCCAATTAAAATGAAATACTAAGATTAATAGTTCTTTCAGTATATAACTTTCAGAATAAACTCTGAAAACTTTAAGAAACTTTCATAAGAAACTTGCCAAAAAGACGCTTAGCTCGGGCGTTGCAATGAACAAAAGCGTCTGAAAACTCAGCACAAACTTTGCTTTGCTATTGAATATAACTAACTATACATTTGGATATATATCTGTATGCTTGGTATGTTAAACGCGTCGAATAATGCATTTAACTGGGCAACCCGCTGTCACACACGCCCCACAATAAACGGTCTAAATATTGAAATCTTTCAATATCTTTCAATAAAATATGTAGATGCTTCAATCAGCTCAACCTGCCCCTACCCCTTGCTCGACAAATTGACAGCGCGCCAGCTGAGTTTTACAGCGCAACGGCTTTTGGTTTCGGGTCAATGCCAATATTATTAGCCCCAAACCCAAATCACAAGCTGTGCGTGTGGGTGTGTGATGCTGTTGCTGCTGCTGCTGCTGCTGCGTCGTCTGCTTTCTGACACATTGACATTTTGCTATAGCATAGATTTCTGGGCAGGCGGAGGATTTCATTTAAATTTGCTGTCAACGCAATTACATGCTGTGCGAGCGTGTGTGTGTGTGTATGTGAGTGTGATTGAGGCCCTGCAGCAATGTAAAGTCTTTGGCTCTATTTCTATTGGCTGTGTCGTCGGCACTCGACTTGCTTCATCTGATTTTATATTGATTCAATTTATTTGCGCTGAGTGCTCCGAGCTCTGAGCACTGTGCTCCGTCTTAATGTCCGGCGCCCGCAACTCGGCAGCTCGCTGCTTTCATAAAACCCAAGCATTCACTGTCACGGCAATAAAACAGGAGACGCCTCCTGCCACTGCCCCTGCCCCGCAGGTGTACAGCCGTGTGCATAAAAATACGTCAAGCGCCAACAATAAAATTAAGAAATTTTCAATTTATGCATGAGACACCTGACGAACATGACGACAATGTATACAGGTGTGTGCGTCTGCCACGCCCACCAACCACATGCACATGCCACACATAACTACGTTCATTTGCGGCCTACCTGACGCAGCTTGTTAGGCACTTTTATTGCCTCGCCCGCTTAATTATTTCTGCAACAGATGCTTAAGCCGAGGCGGAGATATGCCAATTGCCTTGTGATGCGTTCCAATCAGCTCTGTCGACTGCACGAATTCCAATTAGAATAACGACGACTAACTTTCCAACTGAAGCGCCAACACGAACTGACTAAACCGATCCAAGTCGCTATGCCATAGCGATTTGTTAAGCTAACAGAAGTTGGCTGAAATGCAGTAAGCCAACTTAAGGCTATATAGCTACTATATAGTCATATTTGCTGTACAGTCTATGAAATTCTCAACAAATTCCTCGAGATTTTAACTAAAGCTTCGGAAGAATTTAAATATTCTATTTATAGCCTGTTCTCTTCTTTACTATCTCTCTCTCTGACTCTCTCTTGCTCTCTCTCTATCTCTGTTTAGCTCTGTCCAATTTACATTTATGTTGCTATCCTTAGATTTTTCCTCTCTCTCTCTTTGTCTCTCTCTAGCGTCCTCTTCTTTGTTTCCATCTTTCCATATCTCTCTCTATCTCTCTCTCACAAACGCACTATTTCTATTTATCTTCCTCACTATTTTACCTGTTCTCCTGCTATCTCTCTCTCTCTCTCTCTCTCTCTCTTTATCTTTGTATGTCTTCCTTTATTATGAAGCGTATTTCATAATTTATCCTTCTATCTCTTGAGTTCTGCGTCGTTTAAAATCTTCCGCTCTCTCTCACTCTCTCCCTCTTTCTTTCTTTGCATTTCGCTTTCTCCTTCCATGTGTGACCTGTCTCTCCCTTTCTCGCTCTCTCGTTCTACTCCCTTCACTATCTCTCTGTCTTCCCCACTTTCTTAGCCTCATCTCCTGTCTCTCTCCCTCTCCCGTCTTATCTCCCCCCCTCTCTCCCTTCTCTCTCTCCCCCTCTCTCTCTCTCGCTCTCACACCTCCAATTGACATCTTCAACTAACTCTCGTCTCTCTCTCCCTCTCTGCAGGCTATGGCAACATCGCACCACGTACAGCTCTGGGCAGGATCGTGACGGTGGCATATGCCTTCTTCGGCATACCTTTGACCCTTGTCTACCTGAGCAGCACGGGCAGCATTCTGGCCAAGGTGGCGCGGGAGGTGTTCTCGAAGGCGCTGTGCTGCTGCCTGTGCTCGAACTGCGGCTACTGCTGCTACGACGAGAAGCGCATGGCCGAGAAGGAGCGCCGCATGAAGCGCAAGCGGCAGCAGGAGGAGCTGCGCAAGCAGCAGGCCGTCATGCAGGAGCCGTACTACGTGCGCGACGTTTACCATGCCACGCCCGAGAAGCAGGCGCCACCAGGCGGTGGTATTGGTGGTGGTGGTGGTGGTGGTGGTGGTGTTGCCACCGGTGGTGTCGGAGCTGGCGCTGCGGCTACCTCAAGTGGCGGCACACCCACGGGCATACCAGGCTTGGGCATGCCCACAGCAGCGGCCACGGGCGGCGCCGACATCGACTCGCTGAGCGCCAGCGAGTCGCGCGGCTCGATGCACGGCCTGAGCATATTGGCGCCCATCTTGCTCTGCTTCTCCATGATGATCATCTACATAGTGTTTGGGGCCGCCGTGCTGTACCGCCTGGAGAACTGGCCAATTGTCGACGGCATCTATTTCTGCTTCATGAGCCTCTCGACCATCGGCTTCGGCGACATGCTGCCTGGGCTGCGGCGCGACTCGAATGCCACCACCTGGTTCTGCTCGGTGTACATCATGTCCGGCATGACGCTGACCGCCATGTGCTTCAATGTCATCCACGAGGAGATCGTCCATCGCATACGCATTGTGGTCGAGTTCAAGAAGGCGGGTGCCGCGACCGCTGTCGGCGCCGGCGGCTCCATGTTGGATGTGTCGCACGAGGATGGCAATCAATACTATATGCCCGCGTCCTGACACTATGAGAAGCGTGGCCATCTCTATCAGCGCAATCCCACCGAGGAGACACTGGTGACAGGTGCGCCAAGCTCTTGCGAAACCCACTCGCGGGCAAACTTTTAATGCTCAGACCTCTTTGCAGACACGCCCACTTCGCTGGTGCTGAAGGACTATGTGAACCATGAGCTGGTGCCCATACTGACCATGGATCCGAACGGCTCGCGCCTGGGCCTGGCCCAGCCGGCGCCCGTCTATGCCAACGCCTCGGAAAACACGCTCAGCAGTCCGCTGCTCGACGGACTCACAGCTGGCCAGGCGCAGATCAAGCCCGGCGTCTACACGCTGGCCGAGGAAACGGAGCTCGAGCTGCAGGCCGTCCACACGGACACGCAAGTGGAACGCGTCTAGAGCCCCAGCCCCAACGGCAGTAGGTCGTTAGCGTTTAGGCTTAGTTCTTAGTCCTTAGCCAAGTCAGTTTAACGTGTACAATTACCAAAACTAATTTTTTTTTTGTGTGTGTGTGGGCCATGCCCGGATAAATAACGAAAAACGAAATGCCTAGCCCTAAGTTTGACTATCATTGTATATACGAAGGATATATAGAGAAAGAGCAGGACAGAGAGAGAGAGCGAGAGCGAGCACGCATACGTGAAAGCGAGCGAGAGAGAGGTAGCTTCTTCAGCTAGAGCGAGACGAGACGAGACGAGACGAAACATTTCCGTAGCACGTAAGCACAGTAAACTGAGCATAAAGCAGCCGCCGCCAGGTGCGCTACCTACAGTAATTAGTCAATGTAGTGAACAGCAAAAGCAACAATGAAAACCCTAAACGAAAATACGAAAATACGAATCAATATCTATAAGGAGCACTTTGAACAAAACGTTTATGCGTTGAATTCCACGAAATCCTTTTGCCAGCTGTAGATGTCAGCTTCTTCTTCAGCTTCTTTAACCTTTCCCAAGCCAGTCTGGCAACACTGCACAGCCCGCACTAAGTTGGCTGCGCCTGCGCGGGGATGAATGTTCGTTAGCCACTTTCTGTGAAGACAGTCCCAAATTGATGTATGTGCATACATTTTTATGATGTATGTTGGTATATACATTGCTATGAAGTATGAAACTGATGTATGTATGCATATACTTTCTTATGATGTATGCATGCATATTTTATGGTATATGTATTACATCAGTCTGATGTATGACTGTATCTGCAATGATGCTACATACATACACCTGCATAAGTATGTATGTTTCCTTTCATATGTATGTATATGCAATATTATGATGTATGTATATACATTATAATGACGTATGTATGTATATTTCATTTATATGTATGAACACATTTGTGTGTATGTACACTTATGTATGTGTGCGTATGTATGTACACTTATCTATGTATACTAATGTATGTATCTTCAGTAATGTAGATATGTACACTTGTGTATGTATGTATGCAAACTGATGTACATGCATGTGTATACACTTATAATATATGAATGTTCGTCTTGTGTGTACTTATGTATATACATCAATGTATGTATGTATGTACGTTAATGTATGTATTTTTCAAATCGAAAATCTGATCAGAGCCTTCCGCAAAGTTTTTTTTTCTGTAAGCGCCACATCAAACTTAAGAAAAATCCCAAAAAAACAACTACTATTAATATATATGTGTATACTCTATATATATATATATATATATATATATATATATATATATATATATATATATATATATACGTATGCATACATATGCATTATAATAGAAAATTGTGTAAGATCTTAAAACTTGTTTAGAAATGCCCTTGAAGCATAAAACATCCAACATTTTATACGTAAAGTCAAGCTTACATAGTTAATACTACTAATACCAAAAATACATACTAAAAAATACCAAAAATACAAAAAAAAAATAAATAATATATTCTGAAAATTAAAAACTTAGAAAAACTACGCTATATATTATATAAATATAGATAAATGTTGTTGTTTTTTTTTTTTTTGTATTGTAATTGTAAAACATAACATTAAAAACAAAACAAAACCAAAAAAAAAAAATACAAAAACAAAATATTACGCATATTATCAATGAATTTAAATTCATAAAACTTAAATAACGTTTAAAACTCAAAACTTTGTAAATTGAATGCATGTTTGAATGTACCCAATTGTATATTTAAAACAAAAAAACCAAAAACGATGCATAAATAAAACTTAAATAAGTAAAGATGTTGAAGTGCTAATGTGTTCTAACATTTTCAACACTGTTTTGGGGCCCAGCGAAGACGTATACTTAATATTACTGCCTCAATATGTTTGATTTTTGCCCCTTATCAATACAGCTGTTAATTTGCCTTATGGGCTTTAAGAATTATTCAATCTTCATTTAATAAAAAGTTCACTTTGGACTTTTTTAACACATTTACAAATATTGCGTAATTATCCAAATATCGTTGATGGCGCCATCTCTTGTATATACTGCACAGTTGAGCTAGCGCCATCTTGAGCTTATATTATAGGACATACACCAGAGCAACGATATTGTACTACCTCCCTCTCTTGTTCATATTATTAAATGTCATTCACAAACGCTGCCCTGTTACGCCATCTCTTGTTCATGTTTTCACGAAATATGTGAGTGCGCGATTTCTGCTGCGCCATCTACTGTAAGCCAAGTCCAAGCGTTATGCCACTGGCTATTGTTCGTCTCAACATACTAGTTAGCGCCATCTATGTTGTGTTTCCTAATTAAGTACAAAGAAACGCCCCCTGTGGCTATGCAGCTGGCAATTGAAGCACGTGCTTTGGCGCGCAATTTAAAAAGAAATAACAATTTTGGCATGGCACGAATGTTTGCTGGAATAATTGAATATAAACAGGTGTGTGGATTTGTCATTAACGCTGTTTAGCAACAATTATGAGATCGGATCGAGCTAAAAGCGTTCACACTCCAGTTTCCAGTTTGCCGGCAGACCAAACAAACGACGCCATCGATTTGTTATTAACAATTTAACCTTCAGCAAATTATCATTAATATGTGAGTGCTGGCGATTTGTTTATTCGATTTCGTTTTTCTTTTCAGTTTTTTTTTCTTTCTCATTTCGTTGGGTTTCGTTGTCCATTACAAATTGGTGATAAGCAAACGATTTCGTATATTTTAAACTATGTAAATGAACTAGATATGTATGTACATGTGTATGTATGTATGTATATCTATGTATTTGCATTGCATGTGCTGCAAGCGAAACAATAAAAACTTGATTGAACTTATTTTAAAATTATTTCAAGAAAGAAAATAAAGAAGTTGGAAAATTTCTTTTGATAGGTGTGTCTGTATATATGTATGTGTATATATGTATGTATGAAGACATCCATAGATTATCGACGCAGTTTCTGATCGTTGCAGTTGTTCCCAAAAAGTTGTTGGCCTTACACAACACACATCCATATACATACACACATACACACATGCACACACATGCTTATTTACTCGTGTGTATTCATGTGTAGTTAAATACGCATATACATTGTTTTTTTTTTTGCATATGTTTGTACGCATAACAAACTTGTATTTAGCAACAACAACTATAACAACACATTCAGATCATGCTGAAAAAATGCGTAAATACAAATATACATACATTTGAATATATATATATATATATACACATGCATATATCACTTCAGCTTGTTCTTACACAGCGCACACATATATATATGACCTCTCTTCCCCAGCCATTGACTGGCTCTCTCATGATCCACCGGCACACACGCACACACACACAAATAGAGCAAGCCAAAAGAATCGTATGTTTGTGTTGTTGCGTGCAGCTCTCTCACATGCGAAATGCGCACTAATTGAGGCAACACGTCGCCAAATACAAAAAAAAGCAGCAACAACAACCACCAAAAAAATTTCAAACGGATTTTCATAGCTTCGCCTGTAGAGTTCAGTAGAGTACATGTAACATGTAAGTATATATAAATATGTATATATATATGTGTGTGTTTGAATGTATGTAAAGTCCAAAAATATCAAAGCGAATGTGACATTTAGATTAGTAAAAAGATAATGTACTATTACGTAAAGTATAAAAAATTAATTACAATTGTTAAAAAAATCAATCAAGCTAAGCACATTAAACATAATACTGTGAACGTAGCCAATGTAAACGGGATCGAATTTTGCGTCTGTTGACATTGCGATGCCGCAAGAGCGCAAATGTACAAAGAGCCATTGAACGTTTAAGAGAGGAAGAGAATCAGGAGAGCGAGCGTTGGTGCCTTATGGTTGTATTGCGTTCGTGTTCGTATGTGTTTGTTTGCATTGTTGTCGTTTTGTTCGCTGTTGCTTTATTTTTATTGCTTTTTATTAATCACTTGTACATTTGTTATTCAACTATTTAGCTGGTTAGATGAAAAGAAAAACAACAACAACAGAAGCAGCAGCTACATAGCCAATACCTGGAACACTTGCTCGGCTCAGCAATCAGGCCGACAAAGAGCAAAATATATCAAACTCAATAACACAAACAAATACAAAAGCCAACGAAGAACGATGACAGAGTAAACAATAAAAACCCAAAACGAACAAAACGCAAATAATGAATAAAAAGTGAAAAAGACCAACTGATTTAAAACGACGATTGAGGCTCTAACAAAAATGCGTTTGAAACCCAAAAATAGAATAAAATCAAATTGTAATTTGCTGCAATTTTTTTCGACTATTTTTGCACTCTTTGTCGTGCGCTCACAAATGCATCCATATGTATATGTGCTTGTTGACATGTGTATGTGTGTGCGTCCGTGCATTAACACATGTATTTAATGCAAACAAATTTAATGTGTTCGCCCACCTCCCAACACACACCCTTCGCCTGACTACAGCAACAACAAAACAAACATGAAATCGGCGACACGACCTCACCGAGTCGGCGATCCACACAAACACAGTGTACAGTGGTTAACACACTGCAATAGCTTTACGTGAAATAACAACTTGATAAATATACTGTAAATATATTTAGTATTTTCATAAAAAAAAAAAACAAATTTATAAAAATTACAAGCTACTATGTGGTAGATATCCATTGCATATGTAATGATTATCACCAAGCCGCCAAAAATAGATTGCACAACAAACTCACGACACTGTGCAGCATTCGAGCTGCTTCTAAAGCTTGTCAACAATAAAGAAGCGCTTTCTCTCTCCCTCTTTCTCTCTGTGCTCTCTCTATTCTATTTACTCACCACCACTAGCTGCTAAGATTGTTTTTACAATTTTGGCTTTCCCAATTTCTTTGTTGCTTTTTCATTTGTTTTTGGTGTGCGCGCTAGGAGCAAAAAAAATATATTAACGACATCTCGATTTTTGCTGTCATTTGTGTATATGGATATGGTAGCATGCACATACATATATACGTAAGCATACACATATATAACTTTCTATGCAATTTTTTGCATATTACATGGAATTTCTGATATGCGGTAATATTGTTAAGAATTATAGATTGAATCAATTTTAACCATCTAACCTATTTCCACAAAAAATGTATGTGGAACGTCTTAATTAATTATGTATGTATGTGAGTACAACTCTTGCATAAATACATATGTATG